TTTTATTAAGTTGATATTCCCTGATTCCAGACATGACCTTGTTGAATTTGCAAGCATAGTGAATGTTCCATAGGTCAATATGAAATAATTAACCATGATTTTGAAAAGAAAATGTAATTTACCTTTAAGTTGTATATTTGATATTTTTCCTGAAAACCTAAAAATACATTAAGTGCATAGAAAAACCAAAATGAAATTGCTACTGTTAGATATAATAGATGGTAGAAATCTATGTAAAAGAAATCATTGTAGTAGCTGAGTATTTTTTCATAGTAGCTAGTCTGGTACACTGAGTGCCCTCTTTAGTTCTAGATTGTATCTATTCTTTAGATAAGAGCAAATATAAGAAACCTGTATTTAAAGAAATATTTGTCATATATATTTGTCATATATATATATTATATAATATATATAACATATATAATATATAATATATATATATTATAACTTTTGTTCCCTGCCCATACACCTACTATCACCACTAAATAAATCTAGACAGAAAAAATATAAATAAACAAACAAATAGTAGATCTATTTGTTTTCTAAACCACACAAAATTAAGTGAGTTATGGGAACAAATAAACTAATAAACTGATAGACTTGCAGTTTGTTGTGAGCACCACCTACAGCAACTGCATAAAGAAGGCATGAATATAAATATAGTTGTTGGCATTTTCATCATTAGTGAAGTGCAGTCTAGAAAAAGTCATTGTGTGGCCTTTCAGAAAGTAATTAGTAGAAAATTAAAACAAAACAAACAAAAGAAGCACAATGGAAAAAAGCAAAGTCCAGAGCCTGTTTAGGTAGGCCAACTCCTCCCCAGCATGGGGCTGGCCCTGGGAGTGAATGGTGAGGGCTTAATTTAGAATTTGGTATGAGTATGTACAAAAAGTTTGCCTGATACAAATGATGCCATACAAACAAGGGAAAGGTAAAAACATTTTTTTAAAAAACAGTATATATTTCTCAAGTTCCATGAAAACTTCAGGACTCAAAGATAAGTCCTACCATGCCAACTTCATTTGGGTGGTATAGTCTCAGCCTGAAATTTTATTTGCTGTGATATATCTTGGTAGTTTTTATAGTTTACAATGCTAGCACTAACTCAACTTGTTTTTGTTCCAAAATGAATTTCATGCTTAACTTGTTTTTCTTAATTAGACTTCCTTTAGCAGTTCCTAATATGTGTGTTATTAAAACTCATTAGACCCTTTCACACTTGCCTGTCATATTTGGATACACATTCATATATTGAAGTACTTCATATATAGAAATAAGATTAAATAATAAATACAGAGACTTGAACATTTCATGAGTGTCAGGATGAGAAAGTGCCTGCAAGGTTCATAAGGTTTTACACAAAAGAGGCATTACAGCTGAATCTCACATGCTGACACATCCCTGATCTATAAACTCTGCAGTAATGGCAGCAGTAAAGTGCCCTTCCATTGAGTAGAATTTCTCTCTTACATGCACTGGAAATAGGCACAGGAGAGATTACATTGACTGTTATAAAAAGAATTAATATTAAACCCCCCAAAGTTTAATGTCTAATAATTTTAAATGCCTAGAGAGTGATTTACTAGTTTTCTCTGACTTCAGTTAAGCTTTGACTTGCAATCTCCCCACCCCCCAACAGATATGCTACCAAAAGGGAACATGGGTTTTTCTTTACCTTTCTTCCTCTTTTTTTATTTCTCCCTTTCTTTCCTTCTTTCTTTCTTTCCTTCCTTCCTTCTTTCTTTCTTTCTGTCTATCTATCTGTCTGTCTTCCATCCTTATGTAGAGGGTAGCAAAGGTATCCCACATTCTTTTATAGCAATATAGAAATAACTGATATTAGTCAACATGGTTTTATCCCCATCACATGAAGAACTCTTCTTAGGCAGAACTGGAAATGTTGCTATCTCAGGGTCATCAAGTACTGGCTAAGCCAATATGCTTATTACTTTTTAAGAAGTAACAAGTATATAAGTATGTACTAGGTTTATTGAGGTGTTCAGTAATTCCATCTTTATTTTTCTGGGCTTTGCATATTTTAAAATTTAAACATTGAAATTTCAAGTTCATGTAAAAGCAGGCTTTCTATTTCAGGCCCCAATTAAGCAAACAAGATAGAACTTTTGCACTACAGAGATTATATGCTAAAATTTCATTACTGAAGAAAAGTAAGATTTTTGTCTTTCATTTTGCTTCCATTTAAGAGATGGTAGACTTTTCATTTAAGACTGGGATAAACAACGACACTGGACACTAGCTAATCATCTCAAAATCATGAGAGCTGCAGCCAATACATCAGCAAATCCTGGATTTTAGGCCAATTAGACAACATGGAAGAAGGTAACAATTCCAAGGGGAATTGCAATATCCAGTATCCTTGGGGAATCCAATGTTATGTCATGCCATTTACTTTAAGAACCATATTTGCATTTTTAGCACTATTTATGAACTTCTAAACTTTTAGTCCAAATTACAATTCGTGTGTCCTGATATTAAGTACAAGGAACCAGCCAAGGACATTGTGTTCCTTTGAATGATCATCACATATGTGTTGTAGAAGACATGGCAGTGTGTAGTTAACTGACAGACTGAACCCAGCAGTGATTCACCAGCTCTGTAAGTGGACCACTCTACTTGTCAAACTATGCTGAGCTTGTGTTCATTAACTGGCTGTAGCAGGTGTGGTATGTGGTTCTCTATAGGCTACTGCCTTTGCTATTACTTCTCCAACAGATATGTACTACCTACAAGGTTTATAAGTATTTTGTGTAGGAATTTACTTTAGAAACACTACAAACTCTCCAAGCAGATGATACAAAGAGAAGATCAAAGTTGATGCATTTTTTTCCACCATCCTAAGAGAGCATAATGAAGGCTTAGAAAATATCAGCTACTCTTGAAAGAAAAGTACTTCCCCAGCAACTATAGAGGTGTGTTAGCTCACTCACCCTCATCAGCAGTCCCAGATACTCAATCACCACTAGTTCATTGGTTTAGAATATGCAAATTAATTTTTAAAGAACCCCCATTTTCAATTTAATTTTTTATTGCTTTTATGTCAATTATGTCTCAGTCTAAATAAAGAAGTATTAACAAATCCATCATTCAACGTGCTTTATTTATTTGTATTGTCAATTAATATTAATTTTATTGATTTAATCAGATGTTAAATATTTCTGGACTGTGTGGCTAGGGGCAGTGGCTAGAATGTACCAACACACAGAACACCCATTCTTCTCCCTCCAAGGCACACAAACCACGTGACAGAGAAGCAAGAAAAAGAGGCAGAGCCAGCCTCTGAGATATCTGCAGAAAACGAATACACTTGTAGAAACTCTTCCTTGTGGATCTAATATTGTAGAAAGTTTTATTTAGTCAAAGCCCACAGAAGCAAGAAACAGCCAAGTTTCTACTTTAAAATTCCTGGGACGTAAAAGTTTTCACTTGGCAATTGCATCTTAAAAATACAAATTTCAAATGCTAGCTTCAGAATTCAGATTAAGAGCACAGACACAAATCCAGGAAGGAAGTTAGTAAGACTCCTCTTTTCATAGCCAGAATGCATGAAGTACTTGAAGTTTGTCAGATAAGTACTGGAGGACAGGAGTTCAGATGATACTGAACGGTGGTCACTACTAAACCCAGGCTTAAAGGAGAATCTTTAACCTTAAAACTTTAACAGTATCTGCACACATTTCCCAACCTATCACACAAAAGCTGGGGAAATAATGCTTTCTTTGGGATACAAAAATATGCTACATCATTTTATAACATGACAACTACCTATCTTCATTTTATTTCGGTGCATTTGAGTGCTTCATAGTTTAAAAGCAAATGCATTGGCCTTAAATAGGAAAAGGCCAACTGAATGACACTGACGTGTAAAGAAATGTGAGGAAGTTTCATCTACCTAAGTCACCTACAGACACTTCTCTACATTCATAAACACTTACATATTACATATTATTTTGTAAATAATTGTGCTGGAGCTATGTGGACCTCCAACTTGGATGAAAATAATGCCTTTTTCGGGATTCCAAAGTAACTTTTACTCTCGTAAGTCAATTAATATTCACACATTTGAAAGATTAATTTTATTTACCTCTGGCGAAATCGATTTCCTTCTGAGAGGCATATTTTTGTTGTTATTGTTTTTCTAGAAAGCTACAAAATTTCTTTAACCGAAAAAAAAATGTTTTAAACTAAATTCAGCTGCAAGAAAATCTCTAGAAACACAAGTGCTCACAGCTAGCTGAAAAAGAAAAGCCAGGAGTCAGGAGTTGGGCAAGGCAGGCTGAAATTACAAAATGAGCTGGCTGCCTGGTGCACTAGTCCGCCTGGGCCCTGGGCTGAAAAGCTGCAAAGAGGCCCATCTAACTCAAGAAAGTAAGTCTCACTGTATTATGCAAAGTCCTACAAGGAAGTCATGAGAGATAACCTGTGTGGCAGAATCCAGCTTCCTTCTACTGAATCAGATGCAGTGACTGTAACCCTTTAGTGTCTGAGAGAATGGGGAGGTGGGGAAGGGCAGGAAGAAACGGGGAGGGAGCATTGGAGCTTATGAATAAGACCACTCTCCTGCCTACTGCATCCCCAGTGAAATTCCCCTAGGAAGCTTAGCCTGCCTGGGAAACTGGGCCAAGGCAGCCCTATGTGAGTGAACCAGGGATCTCCCTACCTCGGAGCAGGATTTTGTAAGCACTGGCTGTCTCCTTTCCATAAAGTATCCTTAGGAGAAAAATCATCAGTCCAAGAGGGAATCTCACATCTCAGAGATTCTCTCTCCACCCCCAGGACAAAGTTGGGGGGCAGGAGGACGTTTCGCTTCCCAACAGAGGCCACAAAACCCGGGTTTTCAAGCTTGGTGCGGGTGGAGCGGTCGCGATGTGGATTGCCAGCCTGCTCGCCCCATTTCTCCAGCGGCCCCGGGTCCGCAACCCCCTCTGCACAGTGGTACCCAGACCCGCAGCCCTCTCCCAAGGAAAGAGCCACAAACTTACCCTCAGCGAGAAACGTTCGCGGCGGGAGCCCCCTCATCTTCCCCTAGTCTTTTCAATTATTCAAGGAGACAGTTTTAACAACACTTCGCCTTCAAATTCAAGCCGAAATGGCCAAAGTATTTACCAGTTTGTAGATGCTTTCTTTGCAACCTCAGGAACTGGGTAATTCTTGTTTCAGAATTCAAGACGCTTCCCTTATTTATTTATTTATTTTTTTTTTTTTTCTTTAAGCAGCCGCAAGCCCGGTTCCACCTCCCCCTCTCTCTTTATTCACCCACGGACACTTCCTAAACGTGTGGATTGATGCTTTTTTCTCTCCAGACGCTGCCACGATCTAGAATTCTGGAGAACCAAAGCCGCATCCGTTTAATTCCCACCACCAGGCAAGAAAATACAAACGATCAAACAACGTTACTTCTGTGAGCTGCGATCAGATAATCCTACTAATCCAATAGATTTATCTCGATTGGAAATTGACCTCAAAAAATGAATTCCCAGTGTTGGTGTCCAGTAGAACGATTCGGTGGCCTTATCCGGGTTACCAGGAGCCATGGCTTCTTTCTTTCATTTTTTTCTTTCTTTCTTTTTTTTACAAAAATCTTTTTTTTTTTTTTTTTTTTTTTTTTTTTTTTTTTGGATTCTGGGTGCACTGCTCAGGAAAAAAAAAAAAAAAATACCGAGGACCCTGGTTTTCCCCTAATACAGGTTTCTACTTCAAATCAGTGCAGAATGAAAAATGGTACAAAGGTACGCCTAGTGGCTCGAGGCGATATTGCAGGGATTTCTTTATTTTTTTCTTTTCTTTTTTCTTTTTTTCTCCTCCATCCCTTCTTCACCTTTCAACCTCCCTGCCCCCCCCCCCAAAGCCAGCGGATAACTTGCTGTTATAGTAACTGGGGGATTGAGCTCCGATTAATACTAGTAGAATAAAACTGCCTGAATGCATGGGTGGCCTTTGTCTTACACTGGAAGACTGAAGATCTGTGTTTCTGACTCCTCAGTATTTATATTCCTCCCTGATAGCTTTAGTAGCTAAAATGTGAATTTTGGGAATCACTGTTCAAATAAATGTATTGTTTCTGTGTGTTTTAAATACTGGTAATTAGTAGTTAGTGTACACACACACACACACAGAGAGAGAGAGAGAGATCCTAGTCTTCCTGAAATACATTTGTTTCCAGAAAACCATTTAACATTTTGTTTCCTTTGTATAAATATGATAAAGGATATGGATTATTTAGGCAATATTTTATTATTTTTGGATTTTTTAATAAAATTCTATTACATTTATTTATTTACCTCCATGTATGTATATACGTATGTATGTATGTGTGTGTGTATGTGCAAAGCTGCCCATGCAAACACACATGCCTGAGAATGTGTGTGGAAATCAGAGTACAAATTTGAGGAGTGAGTTCTCTCTACCTTGTGGACCCTGGGGATCAAAATCAGCTCTTAAGGTTTGGTGTCAAGGACCTTTACCCACTAAGCTATCTCACCAGCTCTCATTTTGAAATATTTTTAGGCATTTTTGTTACCTTAGCCATATATGCATATGTGTGCATGTGCTTATTTGTGTGCCACATGTGTGTGCAACTGCCCACAGAAATCAGGAGTCATTGGACCCTAGAGTGGGGTGTTGTGAGCCATGCAGCATGGATGCTGAAACATAAAACCTGTACTTGGGTTCTCCAGGAAAGCAGTAAGCACTTGCAGTTGTAGAATCATTTCTCCCATCCCTCACTTTGGATTTTTGATGTCTTTTCTACCCCCCCTGAGTCTGCAGTGAAAGGGCAAAGCCTAAACATCAGAGTTCAGTGGCCTCAGCTCAGCACTGAGAGCTCGGACAGGTTTCAAAGCACAGGATCAATGCACTGCAATTCAGACCCCTTTTGCTAAGTAGCATTCCACACAGTCTCACAAACAGTGTCTGCCAATAAGCCAACAATCTTTTTCAAATGAAGATGCTAGGTCTTTAGGGCTGAAACTCTCCAATCTTAACAAGCCCTCTGAGAACACTTTGATTATCAAGGGCCTGGGAAAATACAGAAGTTGGATTCTCTTTCATGCTGATGGTTCTGTAGCTGCAAAAACTGGAAAATTTTTCTTAACTGACTAAATAATTAAGCCTTTAAGTGTATGAACTGCTAAAGAGTCAGGAGACATTTCTTCTACTACTGGCTTTGCTGTTAATTGGCTATGTGACTTTGAGCAGTAACTTTTTGCCTATGGGTAATTTATCTATTAAAATTCAAAACAAATCAAGAAACACACATGCTCCTTCATGGAAGATTAAATATTGTATATTAATGTATGATACTAATATGAGTATTACTACAATATAATTACAGCTTTTCATAAAACCCAAAAAGTTAATTTTGAAATATATATGAAAAAAGTGAAAAACTGTCAAATAATAAACAAAAACCCCAGTAACAATGTTCATGGAGTTTCAATGGAAACTATTAAGTCTTAATCCAGAATAGCTATGGTTACGAATCAGTTCCAGAATCTAGTTCATGGGAACAGGAAAAAGAATTCCCAGAAATCTTTGCATGCATTTATGGGGATTAGATAAATCCCAGGTGACATGTAAAAAAAATAGATTTTTAACATTTCATCACACCTGAGTTTGTATTTGAGGTAGGATGAAAGACAAATAAATAAATAAATAAAGTACTTTTATATTTCTCATAAATGTATTTTACATCATGACATATCAAAATAGAGTATGGAGATGAAGAGTCACTTGACTGGAGAGAAGTCTCACCGCCCAATAAGCACCTGAAAAGGACACTCAAGGATCCCTGGTCATTAGAGAAATTCACAGCAAGATGATAGGATGGCACTTCACAGCTGTGAAATCAGCTAGAATCACAAATCCAGGAGCACTGCATAATGATGAAGAGGTGAAGAAACCAAAGAAAATACAACAGTGATAGTTTAGAGAGTCCAGAAAGCAGCTAAGAGACACTTAAATATTCTTACAACCTACAAATCCATCCTTTCTGTCTTAGAAATAGTCACTGCAGAATTGCTGAAAAGGACTAAAAACTATAAAGTCGAATTACCTGATGCAAGAGAATATTAACCTGCTGTAATAGTAGAAGCATCCCAGAGAAAAATGGAAGTCCTTTAGATGCATGTGTTATCATGGATAAATGTCAAAAATATCACATAGATAAAAATATTGGCTACTGCCTAAGATGTCTAATGGATATTAATTACTAAGTAGACATAAAATTGTAAACATAATGGTACTGGAGAGCTGACTCATTGATTAGCAATGTTCCTGGAGAGAAACTGGATTCGAATCTCAAAACTCACATGACAGCTCACAATCACCTGTAACTCCAGTTTCAGGGGGTCTGATGCCTTCCTCTGGCCCCTATGGTCACCAGTCACACCTGTGGTACACATATATACAAACATATAGATGTGCAGACAAACACGTATATACATAAGAAATAAAAATTAGTGAATCTTGAGATCATGAAAAAATTGGTTATATTAATTTGGGAAACACACCTATGTAGCCATAGTTTACTAGCTGCAAAAGATAATAAGTAAAATTTAGGGCCAAGAGTACCTTGGGAAAGATTGGGTTAATGAATTTGGCAATAGCGTCCCTAGTGCCTTCACCTGAATTCATGATACTTTATTTTGCATGCTCTGTCTAGAACTATAAATTAATTCTATACCTGAAATATTTCATTAATGTAAGATTCTTAGACTAGATAAGTTCTATGAACCCTTACAGCATTATGAAAAAATATTAATTATAAGTTAAAACTTTCAAAGGGAAATAGCTTGATGATTTTGAGTGCAAGGATTGGGGGGGGGGACATATAAAACATAAGTCAATGTAGATATAAAAATTAGTGTAAGGACTCAGAATTTCTTTTTTTAAAATAGATTTTTTTTTTTGCCATACAATACATTCCAACCACAGTTTCCTCTGTCCCCACTCCTCCTAACTCCCTACTTCCTCCCGTCTGCCCCAGATCCACTTCTCCCAGTGGTTTCCTCTTCAGAAAAGAGCAGGCGATGACAGCCAAACAGGACACAGCAAGATAGAATTAGACAAGGCAACGGCCCTCATATAGAGGCTGGACAACGCAACACAGTAGGAGGCAAAAGAGCAGGCAACCCATTGTTATGAGTCCCAAAATAACACCAAGCTAACAGCCATAATATTTGGTGCAGACCCATGCAGGCCTCATGCTTGCTGCTTCAGTCTCTGTGAGCCTGTATGTGCCCAGCTTAATTGCTTTTCTGAGCGATGTTCTCCTGATGTCCTCCATCCCCTCTTACTTCTACAGTATTTCCTACCCCTCTTCCTTGGGATTTCCAAGCTCCAAGGGGAGGAACCAGATGGAGAGCCTCCAATTTAAGAATCTCCAAATAATATCTGGCTGTAGATCTCACCCATTTCACTCCCATATGCTGCTGGAGGAAGCCTATCTGATGATGACCAGTCAAGGGACCAATCTATGAGTATTGCAGAATATCATTAGGAATCATTTCATTATTAATTAATCAATCAATCAATTAATTAATTTGCTTATTTTTGTAAGCCATGTTTGGTTCTACCCTAGGACTCTGGATTATCCAGTCTCCAATTCTGGCTATCCAGGCAGTGTAGGACATGGGCTTGCACTCCTGGCTTGGGCCACAAGTTAACCAAAGTTTGGTTACCCACCATTGTCCAGTATATCTTGCAGACAGGACAGATTGTTATGTGAGGGTTTTGTGGCTGGGATAGGCCTAGGATTCTCTTCCCATAGTCTGTGGCATACATTCTTGTGTCAGAGACTGGAGTATAGAGATGAAAGTTCCATGCAGGCACTAACTCCACCTCTTCATGTTCAATGAGCTGTTTTGATGTTGTCCTTGGCAATGGGGTCCCATTTCAGTATCCTGTCATTAACCTGCGTTGTTTAGGAATCTTCCCAGGACCTCCTCAGCCAGTAACTCAACTGAATGTTATCTAGTCTATTTCTGGAAACCTTTCCCAACTACAAAATATGGCCAGTTCAGACATCCTTTCTTCCATTACTGGGAGTCCTCACTAGGGTCAACCTCATAGATACTAGGAATTCCATTTCACTAGGTTTCCACTGTATCCTTCTATAGGCATTTGGTTTGTGGATCTGTAACAGTGGCAACACACCTTTGAGTGTGGCTTCTGGCAGAGAGAAGCTGAAAGAGAAGAGCTTGAGGCCTGACTTTCCTTTGTGCACTCTCTGGCAGGTCAGTGGTTTCAGTAGGGAGAACAGAGAAAAGCTCCAGCAGTTCTTTGTATTTTTATGTGTAATTGTTCCCTGATAAACAGCCATTTATCATGTCTCTTCCCACACTGTCTCCCTCCATCCCACCTTCCTCCACCTGATCTCTCCCACTCCTGTCCCCACCTACTCCCAGTCCACCTGCAAGACCTATTCTATTCCCCTTCCCAGAGAGATATGTTTGTCCCCATTGTGGCCTTCATTTAACCTAACCTCTCTGAGCCTGTGGAATGTAGCTTATTATTTTCATTATGTCTAACATTCACTTATGAGGGAATTAA